ATAGATAAAGTAGACAGAGAAAAGGACAAACCGTTGAAATAAAGATGATAAATGATCAAAGGGCATAAAAGAGTGTACTGGGGGTTCAATGCCAGGGTACCATTTTTTAGAGCAATCAAGAGATGAGATATGAGGGCTTAGTTATAGATGGATGCCCAAGCGTAGCATAAAAGATAAAAGGGGAATCTTTTGGAGGAGATAGACAAGAGTGGATATAATAAACTTGTCAGGGAGAAGGAGCATTCACATGTGGATGTGGAACATCAGGAAAAGATGTGATAGAGTATGAAGCAAGAGGTTGGAAGGGATTCCTCATGAAATGTGACATTTGACACAAACATTGAGGCAAGTTGTAGAGGTATCATAGGATTGCTAAATTTTATATGTAAGAAAATAGTTTACAAATATACAATTAAGAGCACAAGAAGAGAGTTTATATCATCTTGAACGAAGAGAGTGAACGAAATAAACACATCCAAGCACTCTGAATGTAAGACAAAAGATAAATTTGTATGACAAAATATAAAAAAAGTGAGGAACATCACCTAAAATGGTGGATGATATATGGTTGATAAAGTAATAGGCTAGAAGAATTACATTTCCGTAAAACTGGTGTGGAACTTCCATATAAAATATTAAGATAAGAGTAACATTGAAGAGATATTGATGTTTATGTTCAACCGCGCCATTTTGTTGTAAGGTCTAAGGACATTATGATTTATAGATAATAGAATTATCAGCATGAAGAACTTATTTAAGCAAAAATTTGAACTTTTATTTTTTCATTGAACAATTTGAACATGGAGAAAACTTTTGCCCCTTCAAGAAGTAAACCAAGATGCCAATGTGTGGTCATAAGAAAATTAAATAAAATAACAAAATCTAAATGAGTGGATACGGGGCTTTTTCCTAGATATCTAAATGAATGAAATAAAAAACGTGCATTATTAAGAGTTACATACAAAGGAAAGTTGATAATAATGCCAAAGTCTCACATTGACTATGTTTACTATATTCACAAGTCTCACATTCAAATTTATAACAAAGAAAGAAGTGAAACTCCAATGAAGGTGTGGGGGAGGATGACCTAGATAATAATGCCACTGATAAGATAAAATATCTGTGGATAAGATAATAAAAGTAGCATCATTAAGATGGTAAATACCTTCAAATTCAACATCTCCACCAATCACCTTTTACTTATTAAGATCATAAAAATTATAGTAACAACAACAACAACAATATCAAGCCTTTGTCCCACTACGTGGGGTCGGCTACATGAATCTTTTTTTACCATTGTGTTCTGTTAAAAGTCAAATTCTCATTTAAATCTAATAAAGAAAGATCATTTCTAATATTTTTCTAACCAAGTATTTTTAGGTTTACCTCTATCTTTCTTAACATAAGTCAAATCTCATATCTCAACTTTCCTAACCGGGTCATCAAAAGGCCTCCGTTTAATGTGACCAAACCATCTAAGGAGACTCCCTCTAATCTTATCTTCCACTGGAATTACTCTAACCTTATCACGTATATGCTCATTTCGTATCCTATCTCTAAGGGCAAAGCCACTCATCCACCTAAGCATCCTAATCTCTACAACACTTAACTTAGTATTATGCTTCTCTTTTAATGGACAACTTTCAACACCATAAAGCATTGCATGTCTCACCACCATCTTATAGAATATTCCCTTAAGTTTGAGGATGACTTTTCTATCGCACAACAAGCCCGATGCATTCCTCCACTTCAACCATCCAACTTAAATTCTGCTGATAATATCCCCATCTATTTCACAATCACTCTGAACAATATATCCAAGATATCTAAAACGTGTACTCTTATTAATGACTTGATCGCCAAAGTTACAATCTGAGAAGGATAAATTAGAAGCAATTGTGAAATTTTTTGAGGCAATGCATATTCAAATGGCTTACAAGAACATGTAAAATATTATTTAAAATCAAAGAGGCAAAGCGATGTATAAATACTTTGCTGGAGATAGAAGAAGGAGATCCATCAACAATGATAAGAGGTGAGAGGGATACCTGGTTTAGTGATGAAAATAGTCATTTCTTATCTACCATATGAGAGGAAGCACCAAAATTTAGAACTCAATATGTGCCTAAATGAGCAATTGTAGCTAAATCGGAGGTGGGAATCGCATGAGAGTTTGGATTTGGCCAACTGAGAATACTATATTAATCTATCACTCTTTTCTTCAATGAGAGAAGTTGAATCAGAATGTGTACCAAAAAAAATAGTAGGGGGCTATCGGAGACATGTTGAGCTGTTGAAGGACAGTCATAATTTTCCTAATAACATTTAGATGAGTAATTAATCCTTTGACAAGGCTGACCATGCAGAAAAAAGCCGCAACCATGACCACGATCACCAGTAAGGTAACCTCATTCATGATTATCTTAACATTCCCTTGTTTTTTAGGTAAGAGTTGTCTAATTATGACCATAAGAAGGCTGAGCATGTATCTCAATGATCTAGAGACCTGTGAGAGAGCGGTGGAGATATTTGAAAAAGCAAAATCGATCATCAATTGAACCTGAATAGATTTTCGAGATAGATGAGGACCAAACATAAACTTGGCACATAAAACTTTAGATTTGATTTTTTCCAATTTGTCGGATCAATTGTAAAGGGCAATATTAAAGAGCATCTCATTTGCCTTTCAGAGTGTTGTAGTACTTCTAAATAGATTTGTCATCTTGTTTTAAAGAGAAAATATCAGAGTAAACGGTGTATAACTTATAGAGGTTATTATTTTAAAGTAGGTGGAATGGAGAAAGTCTCACATCCCCTTGGTAGTATCTTGGAACATGATTCAGATGCTAGTTATTTGATGTTTTTGACGGTACCCATTTGTTGAGGTGCTATAGAATCCAAGTAATTCCTCGTGGGATCCCACGAGAAAAAGAAAGGCTCAAAACCACAAGAGATATTTAATATCATTGAGTGAATTTAATAGGTGCACTAGTAGTGCTTAAGGTTTTATCTATGAAAGATTAGTAGAGGAAGCCATCCGTGAACACCTCAAAGAGAAGAGATAACAGAACAAATATGACTTAATCAATCATGTTTCAAGGTGAAGGCAAGGCATATGGTGCACAAAGATGAGTTATCAAGTGCATCTAGGCACGAGTGAGAAAAGAAAGCATGCGAGTGCATGGGTGCAAGAAACAAATGTACAGACGTAGGCAGGGCTGCTTTCTCTTGGCCACACCCTCTTCGTCTCTCTCTTTTTATCTCTTGTCATCCCTTTTCTCTTTTCTCTCTTGTGTATTATAGTATATTATGCAAATAATTTTGTTGCTATTGTAAATTTTTTTCATATTATTATATATTGGATTATTGGGTATTTACTGTCTCTTTTTGCAGTGGATGGATATAAATCCATTGTGTATGTTGTACTTGTGACTGCTTTGCTCTTGACTTCTCATGGAGTAACAGTTTGGAGAATTTAAAAATAATTATTAGTTTCAGAGGTAAGTTGGGTGTCCCAATAGGAGGTGTTGGTAGCTCTAGGCTACAAAATGTTAATTCTATTTGGTTGGTCTAGGCAACAATATGTAGAAGGGAATGCCAAGGCAAAGTGGCAAACTATTGAATGCCATATTTAAGAGGAAAGACTATGAAAACTCCCTAACAAGTTGTTTCTTGTGCCATTATAACAATGTCCACAGGATTGTCCGTCTAAATTTGCTTGGAAGGCAATCTATAATTTATTCAATAAGCTAACAATCATGATCTAGTATTGAAGGAGCTCCAAACATGCGTTGAAAATTGGAAGGATTTACTTAGGGAGGTGTGCTCATGATGACCGTCAAATTTGAATTAATATTTCACATCAGTGGCATGATAATTGATTATTTCTTTGCCTTATTTAGATATTTATTTTAAGGGCTGATGATGCTCTTCTTATTGATAAGACTAGAGAGGGAGTTAAAGGTAAACTTGAATTATGGAGGTCAATCTTAAAGGCGAAAGGTTTTCGTTTGAGTAGATCTAAAACCAAATAAATGGAGTATAATTTTAGTAGTAATTGATCTAATGGGAAGATTGTGACATTGGACGATCAAGTCATTAATAAGAGTACATGACAACATGTTTTAGATATCTCGGGTTTATTGTTCAGAGCAGGGGCGAAACAGGCATTAATTTTCGGGGCGGGACATATAG